TCACATCCTTCCTAAAGTGTGCAGCCCAGAACTGTACACAATATTTCAACCGAGATCTAATCAGTGCACTGCATAAATTCAGCATAAACCTCCCGCTCATGTACTCTATACTCCTGTTAATGAAGCTTTGAACACTATACACTTTTTTTTTAAACAACCTTCTATCTGTTCTGTCATCTTTAATGACTTATGTGCATATACACCTAGGTCTTTCTGCTCTACACACTCTTTATGCTATACTGTATCACTAAGTATCACCTCTCACTTCTCCACACTGAACTTGACCTGCCACTTATCTACCCATTCCACCAACATGTCAATGGCTTTTTGAAGTTCTACACTTCAGAATACAATCAGATGGTAGGCTGGCAAAAAAATTTGTTACCAGAAGGTAAGCGGGTCAGTTAACTCAGTTGGCTGGACAACTCATTTGTAATGCCATGATAACAACAGCGTGTGTTCAATTCCTATACTGACTGAGTATGAAGGAAGGACCATGGAGGACACTTCTTTTCTTCTCTCCCCTCACCTGAGACATGGTGACCTTCACATTAAACCACCCCAGTCATCTCCGACTAGCAAGAGAGCAGCCCTATTGTCTGGTTGTGCTACTGATAGAAATTTCAAGAATATGATGCTGCATAAACCTTCTCTTCAAAAATCATTGAAAAAATTTCAAGACATCTAACATTATAGTATGCATTATTCAGTCATGGTCATCTATATTACACAAATAATATTTACATAGTTAGACATAGCCACAATGACACATTCATGGTCACATGACTTTCCTACTAAATATAATCACAATTTAGATAAAAACAGTCCATGAATTTCTATCATGCTGATATCAGATGACTTAGGAAAATACTGCACATTAAGTATTTGGGTGTAACTAGATATGCCAGTGTTTCACCGTCATAAGTGAACAAAACTTGTATAGCTGTAGAGCTATGTAAATAAATGCCACAGGATTTTGGATATCATTTCAGCAAAAATGATCAAGGAAATTAAACATAAATCTGTTTGTAACAGTGAAATGTAGCTTTGTTTTATTTACTTCAGTCATTAATATTATGTTATGAAAAATTTGACAAATAAAATTGTGCAATAGTGTGACTGATTTATCTTTGCATATAATAGGAATATTAGATTCTTTCACAAGGAAGATATTTAAGGAAATCACTGCATTAAGTAATCGAAGAAGTAATGTTGACTCCTAAATCAAGTTTGATCATTTCTCTTTGATTACAATTTAATTATGTTTAGCTTGTCACCACACACGAGAACAAATACATTAACAATTGCATATCAATACTGGATGTTCTCAACTATTTAAAAAATGATAATGTTTAGAACAAAATGTTTTAAACAATGCACGCATTGACTGTTGAGTAACACTTGCTACTACTGACTAAATATGACCCAAAATTTCCTGCAACTTCTTGGTATGACTGTGTTAACATACTTTATTTTGCAAGAAAATTTGCACTTACTTACTTTATTCCAGCTTTATGCTATAATTCACCTTAGTGCTGAGTGTCCATAGCACCTGAGGTGTTCCAGTGCTCTTGCCAACACCCTCCCAACATATTCAGAAAGACTAAGCAGCTAAAATTTCCTTGATTTTGTAACAATGAAAGAGGAGGAAAAAGGCTCTGAAAGTGAAGTTCAATGTATGGAGACAGCAGGCCACTCGCATGTATCCCTTGTGATAGCAATAAATGTTGCTGGTTTTACACCCATTGTGAGTTTCACTGTTGGCAAACACACACTGCAGGAAAGCCGGATGCTGATCTTAACTTCAGGATGGCTAATATAGAACCTGGTGTAAACTGAATTAAGGAAATTTATGCAATTTGTCCAGACCTTCATTATAATCTCCTTAAATAGCACGAAAGAAAAAAGGAAACTACAGAGTAAAGGCTGTTATGCCATCACTAAAGCCACTGTAACTCTTGCATTACTCTGTTGTTGCCCAGCATCAGTAACAATTGAAAGCAAATTTTCATTGTTCTTTCCAACTATATGATTAATAGTTTGCCATATTCTCACAAATTTTAAGTTCTGGCACCATTTACACTGAAAGACAATTGCCCTGGTGGGCTGGAAGTAGATTTCTTTTAAAATTGCTAAAACGATTGTTAATTCAAGTTGGTTACATCTCATAATCTATCTTATTCCTTAAATTAAAATGACAAGGGCACAATAATAGCCATCCTTTTGCTCAAATGAGAATTTTGTTTTGTTTTTTCATACCCAAAAATAAAATTGTATTTATATAGCACCTTTCATGATTCAAGACTTTGCAAAGTGCATTACAGCCAACAAAAAGTACGTTTTAAATGTAGGAAATACAGCATGCAATTTGCACACAGTAAGGTATCATTAAAAAAAACAAATACTGTTTCATGTATTTTAATGGCAGTGGTTAAGCGATAAAATTTGGCCACAACACTGCAAAAAGTGTTCTGTTCTTCTTAGAAATACTGCCCAAGAATTGACTTAAGAAAGTAAGCAGAATTGCTTTAACACCTCAACAAATGATGGAACTTCTGATAATGCAGCACATCCTTCTATTACTGCACTGAAGTATCGGTCTAGATTATGCGCTAATGACTCTGGTCAGGCTTGAATCCATGATTCTTCTGCCACCTGTTCTCTTCAGGAGAGCAGTGTAATGCAAACAAAACAGTTTGGTCTCTCTCAAGAAGTCAGCACTTCTGCATAGTGATATCTGTTTCCCTGTGCCACCAGTACTTGCCAATGAGTTTTAAAATATTCTTTCACAGAATGTAGGCCTAACTGGCTAGGCAAGCATTTGTTACTCATCCCCAATTCCCTTGAGAAATGATGATGAGCTGCCTTCTTGAGGTGCTTAACTCCAAGGGGTGTGGATAGGCTCATAATGCTGTTAAGAAGGGAGTCCCAGGATTTTGACACAGTGAAGGAACTGTGATATAGTTCCAAGTGAGGGTGGTGCATGGCTGAGGAGAACTAGCAAGTGGAATTTCCATGCGTCAGCTGCCGTTGTCCTTCTAGGTAATAGAAGTTGCACGTTTAGAAGGTGCTGTCAAAAAAGCATCAGTGTGTTTCTGCAGTGCATCTTACTTATGACTCACAGAACTGCTATTGTGTGAGTGTGGTGGCAGTGAATGTTTAAGGTGCTGTATGGGTGCCAATTTAGTGGGCTGCTTTCTCCTGGAGAATGTTGATCCTTCTGAGTGACACTGGAGCTGCACTCAGGGAAACAAAGTTTTTTTTAACTCACTAGTAGAATGTGGGCATCGCTGGCTGGCCAACATTTATTGCCTGTCCCTAGAAGCCTTTGAACTGAGTGGCTTGCTAGGCCATTTCAGAGGGCAGTTGAGAATCAATCACATTGCTGTGGGTCTGGAGTCACATGGAGGCCAGATCAGGTCAGGATGGCAGCTTTCCCTCCCTGAAGGACATTACTGAACCAGATGGATTTTTCCGACAATAGGCTATGGTGTCATGGTCATCCACAGATTCTGAATTTCAGATTTTTTTTATTGAATTCAAATTCCACCATCTGATTTGAATTCAGGTCTCCAGAACATTAACTGAGTTACTAAATTAATCAACTAGTGATAATATCATTACCTCTCCTAGTATTCCACGACACTCCTGACTTGTGCCTTGTAGATAGTGGGCAGGCATTGGGAGGTCAGCAAAGGAGATATACACTGCAGAGTTCCAAGCTATAATTCTTGAGTCCTTATTTTGAACTGCACTCCCTTCCAGTTGGTTTCATTACCTTTCTAGCAATTCACTCAAAGGTGAACCAGATCTTGGTGATATGAAACAGCTTCACCTCCTTTAATTTGTATAATACTTCTCACCACCACCTCACCTCATCTAGATCAACACAAATAACTTAATATGACGGTCACCTATTGGCTTCTTTTTTAAAATGCATTCTCTGCTGGATTCCCACTATCATCCTCCATTTATGGAGAGGAGAGAAAACTGGATAAAGTGCCTTCAGATAGCCTGTCTTGCATTCCTCCTGGAGCTTCTGGAATTGTGTCATAGTCAGTGATTTGACAGGGGCTCACCAATTGCCTTCTTAGGCACAAAGCATATGCAATCCATGACAGAAATGGGAAGAAGAAAAAAGGAGCAGATAAGTTCTTAACATGAGAAGTTATGTACTCAAAAATATAAGTAAATGATCTTTCAACACTCAGCTTGGCACTAGAAGTAATGAATGTCTAACACTTCAAATGTAATTTTCAACAATGTACAAGCTTGTAAATATTTTTAGGTTGCATACTCAAATCCTATACTCTGGCTATGTTAATTTGTCTTTTCACAGGAATTTCTTAAATAAATGTTGTAAATCTAAATGTTGCAAACCTTGTGTTCCTTCAACGTACAAGGACAAATTTAGGACTTCAAATAAAACCCATCATTTGGAATTACAGGAAATAAGCTGACAAATATTTCAACAGGAAAAGACAACAGCAGTACTGAAATACAAGCCAAAGTATCAACATGCAACCCTGCAGGAAAGTGCTGTCAAAACAGGTCAGCGTAAACCAATGGACTCAAGTCAATTTAATCCAAGTGAAGTGTAGTATGAACTATGGTCACTGACCTGTCCTAAAAGCATGTATTGGGAAAACCTCTTAGCAAGCAAGATTTGCGATTTTAAAAATAAATGTTCATTTCAAAACATAAATCATAGAAATACTGAAACTGTATTTGTTTCATTTAACCATTTCATTTAGTAAAGAATTGCATCCAACACCATGCCCCAGAGGATCCAATCTGCTGCTTAGCAAGCAAACTGATAGAAAACATTGAGCTACTTTATTACTGTAATATATTCAAAATTGCTTCAGCATCATACAGTGTCAGATAAAATTGTAATAAAATGACTGATTCAGAATTCTCTGGATCCAAAGAAAAAATGTAGTTACAGAAACATGCTTTAACAAATTGGAAATTATAAATTTTTAAATGCTGAACTTTACCTTACCAACCAACGGTGTAATCCAACATCAAACTCCCTAGAGAAAAGGGAAATAAGAGCATTAACTGAAATAAAGTCGAGACTAGGACTTTACTAGGACTAATTGTAGAACAAAAAAATGCCTAATCACAATTAATTATAAACATGAGAATATTTTTTCATAAATTGAAATGCTTTTTATTCTGCTATTTACGCATACTGACATAATTAAAATATCATAATTTGTGACATTAAATATGACGTTTTCAAAATAAGTCAATTAAGAAGTTGACACGATTGATTGTTGGAATTAAATTAAATCAGACCAATATGATTTTTAAATCAACCCACAAGTTATACTTTTCGTACAACATCTTCACCACCAGCAATTTAAAATAAACTTAATCCAAGTACAGGTATACATTCAGCAAATAATTTCCCCTTCACACCGAATTCCCAACCCACATAATACACCTAAAGGAAAATTGCAAGGTTAATGTTCTTTACATAAACAACAAAAAATGGATTAATTCTTTGGAAAAAAATGAAATGATATTTTGTGACATTATGTTCAAATATATTCAACTTGGTAAGATACTTATAACACAGCAGAAACACTTTGGGTTTGTCTTAATGATGACAGCTGAAGAACCAAAGCTATAACGACACAGCCATTGCAGGTGTTCCAACACAATTAAAAGTTAAAAAAATCAAATGAACTGCAGATGCTGAAAGTCAGAAAAAGAAACATAAATTGCCGGAAACACTCAGCAGGTCTGGCAACATCTGGAGAGAAAGCAGAGTTAACATTTCATGTCCGTGACCATTCTTCAAAACAATTAAAAGCCAAATCAACATCTACCAAAGTTAACAATCAATCTCAATTCTGATATACTCAGTTGACATTCATAATCCGAGCTCTCAGATGGAGAAAGGAATTTTTTTACTGATTTAGCATTGCTGGCTGGACAAACATTTATTGTCCATCATCAGTTATCCTTGAGAAGGTATGGTGCACTGTAGTCCATTTGGTATGACACCCCACAATGTCGTTGGAGAGGGATTTCAAAGATTTTGACCCACAGCACTGAAGGGACAGTGACATAGTTCCACGTGAGAATGGTGAATGGCTCGGAGGGAACTTGCACATAGTGGTGTTCTCATGCATTTGCTGCCCTTGTCCTTAGAGAATTGGAAGGTGCTGTATGAGGTGACATGATGAATGTCTGCAGTACATTGTGTAGTTGGTACACACTGCTGTTACACAGAGATGGTTGAGGAAGGAGTGATTGTTTGTGGAAATGATGCCAATCAAGTGGGCTGCTTTGTCCTGGATGGTATCAAACTTCTTGAGCATTGGTGGAGTTGTACTCATTTAGGCAAGTAGGGAGTATTCCATTACACTTCTGATGTGCACATTGTAAAAAGTAGAGGGGCTTTGGCGGTCAGGAGATGAGTTACTCACTGCAATATCCCTAGCCTCTGACCTCCTCTTGTAGCCACAGTATTTATATGACTAGTTCAGTTCAGCTTCTGGTTGGTAGTAATCCCAAGGCTGTTGATAGTAGGGATTCAGCCATTGAATACTAAAGCCCAATGGTTAGATTTTCTCTTGTTGTGGATGGGCATTCATGCCACTGGGCAATGTTACTTGCCACTTGTGAGTGCAAGACTGGATATTATTCAGATCGTGCTGCATTTGGACATGGACTGTTTCAATATCTGAGGAGTTGTGAATGGTGCTGAACATTATGCAATCATTGGATAACATGCACACTCTGACCTTATAATAGAGGGAAGGTCATTGATGAAGCAGTTGAAGACGGTTGGAACAAGAAGACTACCAGAAGACTTCTTGCACAGATATCCTGGAACTGAGATGACTGACGTCCAAAAAGCACAACCATCTTCCTTTATATTAGGTATGGCTCCCGCTAGCAGTAACCTTTCCCTGTGTTTCATTTCGACTCTAGTTTTGATAGGGCTCCTTGACACGACAACAATCAACTGCAGCCTTAATGCCTAGCGCAGCTCACACCGAAGCATCTCTGCATCACCATTCAACCTGTCATCCGGCTTTGCATCATTTGCAAACTTGGAGATATTACATTTAGTCTGGTTACCTAAATCATGAATATGAAAGTGGTTTATCAAGAAGTGTATGTTATACAAATAGTTGGCTTCATAAAAGCCAACTATTCAATTGGTTTACACATGCCATTTAAAAAAAAACTGCAAACTGCAAGCTTACTTGGAAGTAATTGCAACAGCAAAAATAATAAATTGGGCTTAGTTTTTCACTAAATACTGAAAGAAGCTACAAAGGTAAATAAATGCTGGGTGATAGAAAAGGCACTATCTTATTGTTCGCAATGAAACAGGACAGTTTGAGATAGTGATCTTCCACATCCTCAGTTCTTAACCTTGCTAGCACAGAGCGGTACTTTGCAGTCAAGGAGCCAGTTGCCTATTCACGCTCTGCATCAACAGTCAAAGCTAATGATGTGAGTCGGTACACAAACGTAAAGCGGACAGGAAAGGACAGGAATTTCATGGGCAAGATCAAAGGAGTCCACAGGCCCCCTAACAACTAGCAGCTCTGTCTGGTTTTTTATAAACAACCAGAAAGTTTAATGCATATCTAACGCTTTCACATTAGTAGACATTCCCATAAATAGCTGAAATGAAAAAATAAATTCAACAGACCCCTGTAACTATACTTAAATATATATCTTCAAACTAAAGTATTGTACTAAACATTTCTTAAGACATAAGACATATGTATTTTAGACCACAACAGTAGAACCAATGCAGCAACATAATTCTGATAGCCAAATCATGAATAAGCCTGAAAAAATCTATGTAAATACCCTCCAAGTTATTTTCAACCTTACTCTATCGCATGATCACCGCATCTCTAACCTATACCCACTTTATCCAAATACCTCCCCAGACAAACAGTTGCTTTCTTGTTAAAGAAATGGAACATATTATTGCCTCTTAAATATAATCCTGCTTCCCTCATCATTCCCTGATCATTCCCTTCTGATCAGGTTTTTCTTCCTTTAATAGCAAAGCACTCTTTCCTGCCGCACCATTCCTTGGCATTCCTTCCCATGTCCATCATTAACGTACTATTCCTCGCCAATTGCATCCAGAAGAAGGACTGTGCACATCCAATGATGATCAGTATTTTTCTCTCCATTTTCTTCCAAAGCTGATGCCATACTCTCCATCAGCCTATCTGATATTAAGAAGTAAATGAGCTAAAGCCGTCTACAGTATAATGTTGGCAAATTGCACCTTATCTGGCTTCTGCAAACATCGATATATCTCTGATTAATTTATTAATTGATTTATTGTTGTCACATGTACCAAGATGCAGTGAAAAGTGGAACAAAAACAAAGTTGCTGGAAAAGCTCAGCAGGTCTGGCAGCGTCTGTGAAGGAAAAAACAGAGTTAACGTTTCGGGTCCGGTGACCCTTCCTCAGTACTGGGGAAGGGTCACCAGACCAGAAAAATTAACTCTGTTTTATCCTTCACAGATGCTGCCAGAGCTGCTGAGCTTTTCCAGCAACTTTGTTTTTGTTCCTGATTTACAGCATCCACAGTCCTTTCAGTTTATACAGTGAAAAGTGTTGTTTTGTGTGGTATACAGGCAGACCGTACCATACAAAGTGCATCAGGGTAGCAGAACAGGGGGAGAATACAGTGCTACAGTCGCAGAGAAAGTGCAGAGAGATCACAATTAACATTTCACAGGTCCATTCAAATGTCCGATAACAGTGGGGAAGACATTGTTCTTGAATCTATTCGTACGTGTAATCAAACTTTTACATCTTCTGTCAGATGGAAGCGGGTGGAAGAGAGTATAACCAGGGAGGGAGGGGTCTTTGCTTATGTTGGTTGCTTTCCCAAGGCTGCAGGAAGTATAAATGAAGTCAATGGATGGAAGGTTGGTTTGCGTGATGGACTGGACTGTGTTCACAACTCTCTGTAGTTTCTTTAAGTTTTGGGAAGAGCAGCTGCCATACCCAACTGTGATGAATCTATAAAATTGGTAAGAGTCCTTGTGGACATGCCGAATTTCCTTAACCTCCTGAGGAAGTAAAGACATTGTTGTGCTTTCTTGATCGTTGCATCAATGTGGGTGGATCAGGACAGATTGATGGTGATCATCTATTCCTAATCATATGTTTTCCCAACTGACACCAAGGTCATGCCTGGTACAAGAAACCTTAGAACGTTGATCCTGAGCTTAGAGTTCTTTCCTCGTACCTGATCTATCACCAAGACACTCTGATTTCTATATCATCCATTGATATGACTGCCTCACCTTTTATTACCTCATGACTTTACTTTTCTATCATTGCTGACTTTCCACTGATGAACGGCAGATCAAACATAATGTTACAAAACATTTTCTCATGCAAACTGAGATCTATATTGTCAATCTTTGTTCACCAGACTCCTATTTCAGTCATGCTCTCCCTCTTTTATGGGCTCCAAATATATCTTATAGAAAGTACTCTCCAGTCATTCAATACCAAATTACTTTTTCACTGCTCCCTGTACTACAACTTGTAGCACTTTCTCAGCTACCTTATCAGGAGTGTGAGATTTGTTCCTAACCATTTATTACCATGCCTTCAAAGCGCTCTTTCCACCACACTATTGATTCAGCGTAGACCATGTTCTCTATCCCTCTGAATTTCTGCATTATTCAATATCTCAGAGAAATTCCTCTGTACTTGCGAGTATGATAGAAATATTTACGAATGTAGTCATCAGAATTCTCCTGATGAACACCTTGCTTCAAGCCATAAAATCAATTTTAAAATATTTTTCATAAGAATTTTCTGATAAGTTATCGCATTGTGGGTACTAATCCAACATTCTCCCATTTTTAAAATACAGGACGTTTTCTTTGAATTACAAGGCTTTTGTTATCACAGTGCCGTTTTTGCATCGTTTTCAAATGATATTCGGCAACACTGAAATGGGTGTTATGGGTTTCTCGGCAAGACTAGCACCTTCAGGATTGAAGGAGGGAAAAA